CCAAGCTTCTCTTCTTTCAAAGAAGCAATGTTTTCTTGCACAAAAACTGACATGAAGTATTGTCAACTGATACTTACCAAGAGGAGTGAAATCGATGCAGTGGTCAGGCAGCGTCGTGTGGTCGGATTTGCACATGGACAGGAAAAACGTGAATACCGTGGACAAGACGATCAAGCACACGAAGATCAAGAGCCAAATGATGTTCAAGAAGTACACAAGCGTCATGAACACAGTGCCACACACTCTTCCTCCAATGAGCCTCGCCCGGTCAGCTCTATATACAGAGTACCTCGTTTCCCCAGTTGCGAGACAGCCCCAAAGCAACAGGATCAATCCCAAAATTCCCATCGCCACTCCGACAATCATGAAAACCAAATGAAACGGTTCCAGCCTGCGGGAAATGAAAAAAAAAATTAGTCCCTATCTCATCTATTTGGAAAGGTCACCAAACCTAAGACTCTACTCATTATCTTATAACTAAGCACTGTAGACACAGATGGTCGCGAAGTGCGCAACAACAACTTTTCTTTGATTTAATTTGATACGATCTTGCATTCAAATTTATGTTTCGAACCTTGGCAAACCTGAAAAGCACTGAAGTAGGGCAAAGAGGTTTTTCAATTCATGAGAGGGTGACTCCTATTCAACACCTGAGCAGGGAGCAATTTTCATCATGAAAAATTTCAGAACACTCGAGGGCAGCGGTGAAACAGTTACAATTTTCGGTCTACTTTACTTTAAACTAAGCAACGTAAATATGCTCATAAAATATCTCAACCTCAATTCTACTCCGTATACTACAGCTGAAAAGCTTCATCTCGGAAAATTACCCACTCCTGAAGCCAGGTAACTGACCTCTTCTCAGTTGGAATACTGTATTATGAATGGATAACACTCCCAGCTTGATGCTTTTAAATTTGAAAACGGTAATTCAATGGTAGAAGCTCGCTTATAAATTTACAGCAAAATCTCGGGAAATTGTGTCATAGGTCGATGATCTGGTTTTACCTTTTCTATCCTGGCAACGCAACAACACAGGACTATTTCATTAAATTTATTTCATTTCTTTCTTTTCATGCTACAAATTTAATCGAAGAAAAAAATATACCGTGCACCGAAGAGAAACGCTCAAAAACGTACGTAGCTTCGATAAATTTCCTTCTCACAACGAGTCGCACCATGACATCAATCAAACGAGGCTTAAATGCAATCGTAGAATGATTTGATCGAAACGCTACTTAATCAAAAAATGTGGCAAAGCGATGAAGAATTGTTCCGTATCATAAGATTTTCACGGTGTTTATGCCTAGTAAAAATTTTGGAATCCATCCGATGAATAAAAAAATAATAAAAATTTCACTACTCAATACGTCCCTGGCAAAAATAATTGCGCATAACTTTCGACTGAGACACCAGGTGTTACCTTCTTGATATTCTTCAGCAGCACACTATGGTTGTCTGTCGATTAAGATCTCGTCCGAGTTTGCAGAATAATGATGATCGATATTTTAAAATTCTAGATAATGATTCCAACTGACCAGTTCAATCGTATGTTGAAGACATCATCAAACATCCTCAGGCAGAGAGTTGAGCCTCTGTATGTCGTCCCACAAAAAACGCCCACTCCAACGCAGCACATCACTGTGGCTATCAAGGTGGCATACGGGATCCTCCCAATGCATTCTCGGCATTCTTGTCCTAAAAATTAAACGAAGCATTCATCAATTTGACGCAGCGCGTTATTTTGTCACTTTTTCGTTGTGTTTATGAAACCAGAAACCGACTAAGGTACGAGAGATAAACCTCATCAATAAATCTACGAAATACTTCGCGGTATTTAAAAAATCGTGCATATGCTTTTTTTTTCTACAAACCTTCAGTACTTCGAGAAGTTTTCAATCTCTCCTTGCACTTGTCTTTCAACAACTCTGTCTGCACGATTATCTCCTCTTTGGAGCCTTTCTTTAGATCCATGATTGCTCACAACACACCTCGAAAACGCATCATTGTCACGAAACTTTAATCCCTCCCGTTATTATCCGTACAACAGGCTTCCCACGATAGACGGAAGACTTCCTCAGAAAATTCCCATCACACCCAACACCGGCGCGATGTAGCCCATAATCGACAAGCACAATCTAGGAAATTATCCCTCTGGGAATGAACTAAAGTCGAAGTAGAAAAAGCGGTATAGTTTCTTCTATAATCATTAGTTGAGCCACAGTATGAACGATGACATGGACAGGAAAAATTGATTTCTATTGCAGAGGAGACCTACCGTGAATCCGGTATGTACTGGTGCATCACTTTTTCAAGAAATAAGCCCAGTTATTGAACATAATTCTTCATATTGCATTGTTTGCTACTGCACATAAAAAGAGACGCATGAGTCAATACGAAGTACTGCAGAGAAAAATCATCGTGAAAGGATTACCTGGATCGCAATTTTCTATAGAAATACAGATTTGCACATCGTGTATTAGCACATCGGAGATTAGGAGTTCAATTAACGAAAAAATCGAACGATTCGGGTTTTTTTTTTTTTACAGTCCATAGTCAGCTTTTGGCACCCGTCGCTTCGTTTGATTTTTGTATGCTCGAAAACTGAATTAAAAATTCTAAAATATTCTCAGTCCATCCTTCAAAATATACAGTCCTTTGAAGTACAGTACTTCAAAACCAAGTCGAAGCACCATTTTCAACATCAAAACACATACCTTTAAAATCTCTTGCCTTTAGGGATAGGACAATTGTGCGAGAGAATAAAAAACGGTCCCTTTTTTAAGCTCATCTTCAATAAAATTAACCAAAAGTTTCAAGTCTTGTCTGACCTGATGAAATGATTTTTCTTGACGCATTTTCGGTGAATGAAACGGGCACCAATTGGCTGGGAAACAAGAAAATCCCTCGGATTCCAAGGCAAACCTTCAAAATTATATACTATCCATACTTTTCTCCCGAAAATTTTGTAGAACTGAGCTTACAAAACTGATTACTAATCACGGTTAAACGTCATTTCAAGAACGACCGCTTTCACGAGATTACGATATGAGCCAAATTTTCCTAGAACTTACAAGACTCGGGTGCGGCGGGTCTTCAAAATTCTTTAGCCTTTTCAAGAAGAAAGGAGAAATTTTGTCACGAAGAAAAAACGGGGTTGACACCGCGAACGCCGCACTTTTCCTCAAAAGATTGAAGAACTTCTTCGCGATCAATACAATTTGTCCCCCACACTCAAAATCCCTACCCAAGATCAAGATACGGTACGGAATAAGAAAACATACCCGTATTCACTTGAGTACCACTTGCTCCCTAATTTTTAAAAATTAGGCGAAAAAAGAGGATGCGGGTATACAATTTTTAAAAAATTTTGAAGCTCAGGTTCAAGTCATACTTGATTCTCATTGGAAATTTTAAAACCAATTTCTGTAAAAAAAATTTACTAGAAACAATAAAAATGAATTTAATTCGGGCTTAACTCAAGACAAAATTCTGATTCGTTTCATTTTCAAAACTTCGTCATTTTTCAGTCACTAAACACAGAGTGCTCGTCATGCTTGGGGATATGCTTTTATCTGAATTTCAGGACCAGAAAAATCTCACACTCGAAGGCACGTGGTAATCGAGTAAATACAGCAGGTATTTCAACTCCACAGCCCAAAACTCGAAAGCGAATGAACGAACTGCCGTCCTACATCACACTCAAGTCACATACAATTTCGAAAAGAGACAGCCACAATGCGGACCAGAAGCTAAGCCTTCGTGCAACCAAGAGAGGCCCCGGCAGTCACGAAAATGACTTTCCAGATTTTCATTTTGCCCGTGATCAGGGAAGCAGTTCCATTACGCTCTACTTCTCGCTCGCCTTCAGAGGATCCAACGGAAACTCAATCAACACACGAGAAGACGAAACCGCGAAACAAGATAGAAGCGCAAGATCACTGCCGTACGACGGACGCTAACGCTTGGCCACGGAATTCCGTCGCCTGGGACTTTCCAACGGCGAATATTCGGGCTCAAGCTTATCGAATTTCACGGGACAATTTTTAAACATTTGCGCAAAAATTGATTCGAATAAAAATGCAACTTTGAATTTATTTTCGATCATGTTCGCGTTCCCCAAAAAGTGTTCAACAACAACAAAAGCGAGTCCGGGGGCCGCAGAGTACAGACTTTTCTGTCTCATTACCAGGCGTCATTACTGGAGGAGAGCAAACACATTTCCTGGTTCATTTTCTGCTTGATTGGTCTGAAAAATCTACCCGAGAAAAACCTATAAATGCAGAAAAATAAATATAGTTGCACTTTTTCCACCGAAGGCTCGAAACTCGGGACAGAAAAGTCAAGTAAGTTTATCGTATTCCCTGATGCTAATACGAGAAGTTAAAAATTGATACCGCATTGACTGGTGTACCTTGTGCCTCTTTCAATTTGAGAAAAATTTTCTTTAAGCCGCTTAAAAGGTGCATGACAAACATCCTATTTATTTTTGCAAAATTGAAGAGGGAAAATGTATGCGTGGTACTTGAATTCATTCATCAAAATTTACGTTGATCCAAAAGCAACACCACGAAACTAAGAAAATGTCACCTTCTACGCACACAAAAAAACGCAAAAACGAATATCTTTTGGCCACTTGGGCCACTTCAGGGGAATCTTGTGAACTTTTTACAAAAGTATATAGGCTTATGTGTGGATCCCAATCACATTTTCGTCAGGTTCCTATATTCACTCTACGACACATAAGCCTATATTCACTCTACGACCGAATGAACCCATAAAAAATCTCCCCGTTTAAATTCCAAATTCACACTATCGAACTGAAGCACGCTGCACAAGTGCACATTCTGCATGATTAAATTCCAAGGAAAATTCAAAATTAAAGGATCTTGGAGGTGCAGGAAAGGAAGGCCGCGCAGCTCTCTCGAGACAGCGTGGCTTTCTGAGTCTTCACGACTTTCCGGTTCGGCCACTC